CTTGGCTGTGAAAGGAACAACTTTTCATCTGAAGAAACAATGTTTGAGTTTGCGTGCCGGCGCAACAACTCTTTGCATGTTTGCTTTCTGGCTTGTTTATTTTTGATTGTGAGACCATGTCGTCGACATTTTTTGAATGGATTCATATTCAGGTCTTCTGCCAAAACTCGTCGCATTGAAGTTTTACTGATTTTGTGCTCATGAGCCAACTTTCGTCCACTTCTTCGAGGTTCTCGGCGAATTTTCTCTCTCACACGTTTGATGAGATTTTTGGCACGAACAGATCTTTTTCGTCCAGTTTTCTTTAATATATCAACGCTGCTCCGTTCTTTGTATCGTTTTATTGTGCGCTTTACAAATTTCAAGTTGATATTTTCATTTTGTAGCTGTTGAAGAATATCAATTTGTCTCAAGCCCCGTTTGTGCAAATTTAGTACCAGTTGACGTTTCACATCCATTCTTATTGCAAGCTAAACAAACACTGTACATAAATGCGCAGTATCATTAGAGTTAGAGTAAACACCAATAAACATAACGGTAAACGACAGAGTGAATCGCAAGACATTTGAGTATTAAAACAAACGATTGAAAAAAAGGGACAGTTATTATGACGCACCCTGTATACTAACTATTAGTTTTCAAACGAATGCCATCGATTATAAACCATATAACCATTTGATTGATAATAACTAATAAAGCAAATTAATATGTATAAGGTTTAACTTTTACATTTCAAACACTAAATTTTCGAATAAATGACACACTCTTAAGACACGATCCACGCATTCACACATCAGAGAATAGCTCCAACCATATACAAACACACGCCTCCATTATTATCAAACGTTCGGTGGTTGTGTCGACGTATGTATCTCTATCATTTAGCCCTTATAGTAACTACATATATAGTGTGTAGTGCTCTAAACATTATTCTATAATTTTTGATTTTTGTTTATTGTAAGCGCAATAAAACGCCTGAAATGTGTTGGTGCAAAAACTTTCTACTCGCACATAGTGTTATGACTTTATTACAATATAATATTTATACCTACAATTATAATAATTGTCGAGTTTAAGAATAAAATTGATTTTTCTTACATTTGGAAATTTAAACGTTTATGTAATAATAATAATCAATATACATATTTTTGTAAGAAATGTTAAATTTCTTGTTCTATTTTGGTATTCTCCTATTCTCAGTGCTATTCTCTGTGCAGAGCCAATAAAAGTCAATATTGTGTCATGGATCGTCCACAAACAAAGCTAAAATTATCCCATCCAGTCGGTCGAGATGGTGGTGATGGTGGTGGTGGTGGTGGTGGTGATGGTGGTGGTGGTGATGGTGGTAGTGAAGATGCTGACGCTGGTTCATCAAATGTGGAATCATCACCAAAAATATTCAAGCTAAGCATTGATTGTTTCGATGAAATATTTGAATATTTGTCACTGAAAGATTTACATTCATTTGGACAAACATGCAAGCGGATGAACAAAGTGGCCGGCGAATATTTTAAACAAAATTATTCATCGATTTCCACATGGTGCACGAGAGACGGAATTCGAACGTATTATTCGGACAACGATGGAATCAACTGGGATCGAATTAAAATATCAAACTTTAGCCCGTTTATATCAAGCATTTCAATTGGAGATGATGCTCTCAGTTATATTCAAAGTCATGTCAATGAATTTGATTCAATTAAACGCATTTCTCTCGACTATTTAAAAATTGACAACGAAACAATTTTATTTATCAAACAATTGTTATTGGGCCAATTAGAAATGGTGCAACTCTACAAATGTTCGATTGACGGTGATATTTACCATTTGATGTTGCAACACTGTGGAATCTTAAAGCATCTATGTATTCGAGAGTGCAAATTCAATGGCCAATGTTCGATCGATAAATACAAGACATTGGCACATACATATCCCAAGCTTGAACATTTGCAAATTTACAATCAACATGGATTTACTGGTCAATTTAAAGAACTATCGACATTTTTTGAGCGTAATCCAAATGTCCATCGATTTTCAACTGGGTTTGATTTGTTTTGGATCAATCGTAACATATTTTTAAATTCCAAAACTATGTTGGATGTATTGGTGCTCGGCGGCGGCGGCTCAATTAGTCTACTTCGGACCAATTTGCAAGAGTATCAAAAATTATTAAACCAACTGCATGACCAAGGCTTTTACAAACGAATCCACATTGAAATTGATTATGTAGACATGGATTTATGTACGTTTTTGGTTTCGCTCAAAGGGATTGTGGCATCGTTGGCCATTAAAAGGTTTGACAACAACAACATCTACAATAATACTATATCACAATTGACCAATTTGAGAGAACTAACGATCGGTTTATGGTATGAATCGAATGTCGCTGATATGCAGCTGTTGGCAAACGGTCTTGTGAAACTTGAACGTCTTTACATTGAAAATTATAAAAGTGTCGATTGGATTTTGCCATTCATTCGTTGCTCGTCAAAGTTGAACAAAATTAACGTACAATCATCATCACAAAACGATGGTGCTATGAATTTGAAAATGTTGAATGAAGAACGCATCAAATTGGCCGGAGTAGCACGAAAATTATTGATTTATGCAACCGACGATATTTTCTTGCCCACCAAATGGACGACGACGACGACGACGACCAAAAACGGCAACACCAATTTGAACTTTATCGAGATTCGACGTTTGGCCTCGTACGAATGGGACTAAAATACTTACGAGTAGTATACGACTAGTCGTAATCCCAAAAAAAAACAATCATTTTTTTTTCTTGTTTTTTAATAATTTTTTTCAAAACTCTTGTTATACATATATCTAAATAAATAATATATAAATACGCGCTCAAAAAAAAAAAACACACACACATTTTTGAATAAATTGAAATATATATATGTATTATGTATATATTTTATATTGTATATTTTTTTTTCTCAGTAGGATTTAACATAAAATTTAAGATTTAGCCTTTGGATTTGATTCTTGCACCACCATTTTTGTTTTGTTTGATTATTACCAGCTTCAGAAACGTGGTTGAAAACGAGTCGCACGCGGCACACATTTCATTCATGGGAATATCGTTCCAAATTTTGACGATTTTCTTTTTTTGTGAATTTGTTCAGATTGGTAACCTTTGTAATCTTTAGACTATTGATTGAGCTTCGATGTCATGTAGCCCCAAGCCACCCCAAGCCGCCCCAAGCAAAAAAAAAAATGCAATGGGTTTAAATCGGGAGACGATGGCGGCCATGAAATCGGCCAAATTTGTTCGTAACCACTGTTGCAGCACTGTTTTTTTTAGTGCGGTGTACAGGCGGTGCGCGCCATCCTGCTGAAACACCCATGACATGGTTCGTTTCGAAACAATCTTTTAGCTTGTGGCAACAGAATTTTGCACAATATTTATTCGTTTATAAAATCTAGCTTTTATTTTTACGTCTTTTTGCTATGAAAACCAGTGGAAATTTTTCAACGGTTTTTTTTTATTCGTATTCAGGAATGTCTACTGCAGACACTGCGCAGTGCGTACACACGATCATTTTGTGCATTAAGAGCTTTGGCTGTAGCAAAAACAACTTTTCATCCGAAAAAAAAAAACGATATTTGAATTGGCGTGACAGCCGGCGCAACAGTTCTTTGCATTTTTGTTTGTTTTTTTTTTTGGCTTGCATATTTTTGATCGTAAGATCACCATGTCGACGGGTTTTTTTTTTTTTGGAAAGGTGTCGTGTTTTTAAAGGAAAGTACGCATACTTAATTTTTTATTGTAATAAATCAAATGGAGAGAATTCTAGAGAAGCTCATACTAAATACAATGTTCCACACACAAAAGTCCATGGAATTTTTGTCCCGAAATTGAACGTCGTGTTCATCCAATAGCCAAACTATATGCGAACAAAAAAAAAGAAAGAAGAAAGCACACAGAAGAAGCGAAAACGTTCATCTCAATAAAAAGCGCCAACCAAAAAAAGCGAACGTGTGGATTTCTGCATGACCTGCATGGAAAACCTGCCAGCCAGCCAGCCAAATTCAACCAAAAAACATAACTCAATCGAATGCAACAAGTGCCAGTCAGCCAGCCAGCCAAGCGGCGGCGGCCATTTCATTCAAAGTGCGTTGAAACATTTAACCGGAAGCTATTTCACGTGCCAATATTTCGCAAAAACTCGGCATTGCCTGAATCTGTTTGACGAAAATTAATGAAATTTCGATGTTTTTTTGTTTCTCTTTTTCATGTTTGAGGTGCAGCGGTGAGGTGTTTGTTCTCTTTTTCATGTTTGAGGGTTCTGATAAAAAAAAAAATAAACAAAATCTAAAACACTTGATACTGGTTTTATTTTCATTAATTACACCAATTTTCTCAAAACTAGTATGTAGTTCATCATCTAGAATAATAATAATAAAGAAGAAAATTGGTAAACTAAGCTTAATCTGATCACATTGTGTTATAATAATTCCACATAATGTGTTCGGTGTTCGTGAAACTCTAAAGTAGCAAGCATAGCTACTTTGGTGTATGTGCGTGTGTGTGTGTACCGTACCACTGGAAACAATCGTCATCCATTCAAT